AAAATCTGAATTATTCACGGAATTATTCATGTCAGTCCATCAATTCCCAACATCACACATCACCCAGACAGTTTGTGAATCGTCCCCACAGTCCATGTGAATCCATATTTCTATCAATTTGTTTACAATTATTTTATTAGGTATCACCACGATTGACCGGTAATTAAAATGATTTCAACTGGCAAGTCATCGCAGATGGTGTAAATTTATCCGTTGCGGAATGTGTGAAAAAATGATTACAAAACATTGAAAATGTATTTTGGTGAGTGAGAATAAAAATTGATTTGGCCAGGAGTGTTTGGCCAGCCCGCAACGCGACGAGGGCACGACTGCCTCAACTGGAGAACCCCTCGTGCACCCTCTGTCTCGCGCACCCCATTACACTCTGTCGGATTCGCTGACTCCGTCCTCCTCTCGCTACCCCCAATTCCCCATCCACCTGACGCACTCCACCAGCTCAAAGGGGGGTGAAGGCTTTTTCCAGCCCCCTCCACACAGCGAACAGGGGCTGGAGGTACAACAACCGCGCATCATCCCCCTACAATATATCCCCCACCCTCGAGTGCAAAATCCCTCCGTGTATCTTCGCGCTTCCTTGTACCCATCTCACTCTCACTCACAATCAACCCCTCTTCATATTAGCCCTTTCTTTTATCTCTTTTGTCCCCTCGCACTTCCCTCTTTCTTCTCGCATCGACTTTTCTTCCATCGTTGTTTCACTTTTTTTTTTCTCCACTTTTTTTTTCCCTCTCCCCCTTTTCTCTCTCTCTTTTTTTTCATACATTTTTTTCCTCCCGCGCCTTTCATCTTCGTAATTTCGGTTGCAATGCATAATTCACCTTGGGAACTCACCCTCTGAAATTTTTCACGTCAAAGTTTTCCACGACAGCTTCCTCGGAAATACGATGGGCTTGCGGAAAGAGAAAATTTTGAATTAGCGGGGGAGATGGAAATTTAAATATGTGCCGCTGTTTCAGAAAATTACTTAAAATTTCAGGTGAAAGGTGAATTTTTTAGAGAAACAGTGGATTGGAATAATTAATCCTCGGGATTGAGAATTCTAACAATTTTCTAGTTCCAGGATTTTCTCTCCATCAACTTTATACCAACGATCTCCATACACGTTCGACGATAAATAATATTCTCCGCTAAAATTAGAGCATGAGAATTTACCCGAAAATTGACTCCACCCTCAGAAGCGAGGAAATAGTGAACCACCGACATCAACCGCTGTGTCGCCATATAAGAAAAAAGGACATTGTGATGGAGCTTGGCCAACTCTCCTAAAACCAAGTAACTGCATACCCTGAAAAATATCAGTATGAGCGATTCATTACACAATGAGCGCGGCCATCATGGCGCCCTTCGCAAGTATCCTCAGACACATCCCCATAGATCCCCCAGTAAAAAATAACCAAGAGACAGAAATCCAAGCGGATTCGACCCACAAATCGTTGAAATATAAAACTACATGCTCCAGTTATACCGCGACAATGTCAGGAAATCCATAACATATAACTTGGAATTGCCAAGCGGTCAAAAGAGCATTACCCCAATTTATTCCGCTTACAATAATCTCGAGAGAAGAAAATTCGGTTGTACGCGGGGGAATTCATCCCCTAGTCGGAGGAAAATTTTTTTCCCTCCAAATAATAATTCAGCCAAGTGACATTATTATATATACGTCCTCTGCGAGATCCGGTGGATGGAATTTGCCCAGATAAATTGGACAGTTCCGCATTGCCGAAACAGACAGTAATGCACACGTACTTTTAATCCTCCACATGCCTATGGTATGACCCTCGGTACACCAGTACTCTTCAGCTATCGGTTATTAGATATCACAGAGGATAGATGCTCACCCGTGTAACCCCCAGGGTATAGTAGAATTATCTTCCACACCTCCCACTGCATTCGTTGGAATGAGGGAGAGGGTTGTACGTTATGTAACACCGTCTACATCCTCTTTCTGTAACCCCCTTCCAATATATTCTCATTCCACTGGGATATCGATAATGGCTTAATTATGGCGACGAGCACGTATGTGCAGGGTTTGCACTCTGCAAGAGTGTGTGTTAGCAATCTCATTTGTGGATTCGAAGGAGTGACCATAGCCCAAACCCATCCCCCATCCACCCCTATTACCACCCTCTTTGGTCAACGAAATCGGTACGTGAGCCTACGGTCGTGGTATTATTCTATCAACCCTTCTTCCTTTTTTAGTTTCCTCCAGGGAGAAGGGAGTAATTGAAGTTAATTAACCGTGATTTTGGGAAGGGAAAAGGGTCAGTCCTTCGATTTCAATATTTCTAGAACTCATTCATCTCAACTGAATGATTTGATTCTGAATTCGTTGACTGCGGGAGAATCTTCTCCAAGTCCATCAACTGCTGATGATTGGAAAATCTCATTAAAGGTCATTAACGATAAATGAATGATTGAATCATGCCCACCCTCCCACGAGTTTGCTGCACCCTGAGCCTTGGTGAATCTTCAGTATAAGCGAGGCAAGCTGGATGAATGAGATCATCTCTTCAGCTATATCGTCCGATATTGGTTTTCAAAGCTCCCGAACTCAATCAGTCCCCGGGTATAAATATCGTTGAGGTCTTCTCATCGGGCGAACCAGTGGCATCTCTCAGTGCATCACCTAAACCCATTGGTAAATTCCCCGACCACCTCAACCACTCGATCGATTCCCCTTTTTCAGGGTTAAATAGGCTCAATACCGTAACCCCAGGGTAGTAACGTTCACAGAGGATAGTTGGTATATTGGTCCCCACCCCTAGCGGAAGTAACGCTCCACGACCACGATGTATGGCCCTGGCTTAAGTTATTTATGGTCCCGAGACACCTTTTCCTCCATCCTCTACCATCCCGCATCCACATTCCCACCAAAAATACCGGTCACTGCGTCCTCCTGTTGGAAAGAAACACCATCCGGAACCATCCACTCCAGGAATCCCTGAAATCGTATCTGTACATCCACTCATCCTGGACCCTCTCACTGCCAATTATTTTTCTCCACTCTTATTTTTTTCACCTCTCCAATTCAACCGGTCGTCTACTCCTCTGGGGGTAGAAGTTTACTCACCAACTCTTGAGACACTGCAGGGTACAGAGACTTTCCAGAAAATTTTTGTGGATTACCTGAGGGGTGAGGATGGAGGAGTCAGTGACACAGGGGATTTGGATTCTAGCGTGAGAGTGGTGGGAGTTGGTCCCGTTTGTTTGAAAGTGAAAAGAAAAGGAAAAAAAAAGAAGAAACTCTGAGAATACCGTGACATATTGTACACTTTACTGCACTTTGGTCAGAGCCAATTGATTTTCCGAGTACCTACTCTACTGAATTGCTGGGCAAACATCAATATACTTTTACCTAGATAAACGTGACCCATGTGAGGAAGAATTGTTGAGGGTATACATTGAATTTAATTTCACTTGTCACACAAATATTCGTGTTGAACGAGTACGGAGAGGTTTGAGGTGCTTGGGGAACCTTGCAGGATAATGTGCAAGTGCTGGGATATGTGGGGATGGGGGTGGGTGTGAGGGGTGTAGGAGGGATATGGGAGGGTAGGTAAAGTTACCGTGGCGCCATGCCATGGATAAGGGATGAGAAGTAATGGCACGAGGAAACTCGACGGCGCGATAGGTCGCCGGATAAAGTTATGGCTCGTACACAACGTACGCCAGGTTCTGCCGGTTGTCTACTCTCTCTCTTTCCTCTCTTCAATCCTCAAAGCCTTCCTCTGTGAAATTCTCTCTGCCTTTCGGCTGTTATCTCTGTCGGCGCGCCCTCTTTTGATGGCGTCAGTAAGTCAATGGGAAAACGGTGGAAGGGGAATTGTAAGTGGTGTTTACGCTCATACGAGAAATCTGATCCTCACCCCCAAGTTGTTTTTCGTGATTTTTTTTTTCACTCTCAACGAAATCTCTGGGGATTTGCTTTTGAACGTTGCATGTGAGCTTTAGGATGGAGAAATTGGAGCACCAGACGTCGGGATTGGGCCAGTGGGTGGTGGAACAATTGATGAAGTCGCTTCAAGGTCTTGGAAGAATGATTTCATGAAAATCGAGAACTTTCCTGCAATCTTTATCGGCGGATATCTTGCGAACCAGCAGTGATAAAAATACAGGATGAAATGCCATGAAAAGCCCTTTTAATTCTGCAAATGGCACGTCTTTGTCTTTTTCCGATAGCATTATTCTATCAAGAGATATTGATTTTTGAAAATCGTTGATAATTTAATTCAATTCCAAGTCGATGAAGTAGACTGGAACTCTGTTAATTCTATTAGGCGAATTTTTCATAAATATTTTCTCATTTCGTCCAACGAAATAAATTTATCCACGAAGTACAGAAATATCAGATAATGACAAAATTGTCTATAGTTAGAAGACCAATATCTCATCAGTAATAATAATATCCAGTTAACCAATACTTGAACAATGAAACTTTCCAATAATTAATTATCCCGTTGGTTTCTCACTAAATTAGAGTTAGCTTTCACTGGCTTTCGACCGTGTTATCGATATCCTCGAGGGAGGGATAAATGAACATGGAGATTTCGATTTCCGGTGAATCCCCTCATTATCGCAAAGTCTAATGAAAGCTCATTAAATAAACAAACTCAATCGCCATTCAATTGAAGAATCGCTCAAATATCGAATTTGATCTCAAGATATCCAATTAATTCAATTTCAAATAATTACTCTCAAATAACTCCCGACAAATTTGCATTCCCGCACTTGATTTGATTGATTTAGTTCTTCATTCGTTAACGAACGGATTTTATCCCTGACGTCACAGTAAATAATTCGATTAAATCTGATTGAAGTCTTAAAGTAATTTTACGCTCAATTTATTCTTCAATGAATTCCGTTGTATTTGTCTCCATAAATGAATACAAATTAATATATCATCGTGCATGCCGGTATATTTTCCCGATAAGGGTAGGGTAAATGACACCAGGGGATGATAAAAAATCCGGACTTACCTCGCGTGTAGAGCGCATCCATGCGACGCAATTGTGTAACCAGTCCTCGATGGGGTGTGTCGCAAGGGTGGTTCATGGTTATGCCCCTGACTCAAGGGGTAGTTGTTGTTGCAGTTATTCAGGGGTGCACGTAGACTACCCGGTAGATGGCAAGAAGCCGCAGCATGATCACTGAAACATCGACAGAATTTCCAGATTACATACCATTGCGGAAAACACTCCCTAAAAAAATTCACACCCACACCCACATCTCCATACCGACGATGGTAACTACAGTTTCCTACCCCCGATATCGCTTATCAGACAAAGGGTAAAGCAGATCACGCCCACAGTTGATAACGGCAGCAGCATCCAGGTGATACCTAATCACCGGCAATTTGTACTTGAATTGAAAAAAAAAAAAACGTGACGACTATATTGTGTATAATTAAGACCGGTGATAACAGGGGAGATAAGACACCATGGGAAATCACACCGTCCCAGTTAGTCTCTTATCATCATTTTATAATCAGTTTTGAAACGAACGAGTGGTAGATTACAGGTTGAAGCAGGTAGATAGAGCGATACCCAACACCGTCCCTTCTTTCATTTTCTTTCTTTGGTATAAATAGAGCATTTAGAACGACTGCTTTATACTCTGATGTTCCCACGGTCCTGTTGAATAGCAGACTAAATATTTGCATCGGAAAGCACACGTGCCACTCATTCGCTTTAATTATCATCACTCCCAATTAATTAACGAATTGGTGCAATGAAAAATTAGGGGATTTGCAGCAGCTGCTTGAAATACGATTGGAGTGGAAAATCGGAGAGGATTTAAATGTTATAGGACAACTACGACAACAACTCGGAATAGATCCCGCTATTTTTAATGATGATAATTATAGACGAGGTGGGATATTTTTTTTTTAGTTGTTGTGATTGGAGTTTTCTCACCTGTTCGTAATTATCTGTGTCAGGGGGAGGGACGTGCAATGGACGCTTCCGGTATTTGTGACAGCTGTATCACTGGTTAGTTTTTAAATGAAAACAAAAAATGTACTTGTGGAAAATTGAATGGATGAGGGTGGAATGAACGTTAGGGTTTTAACGTAAATTTCTGGCAAAAAGTATTGTTACCGGAAGTGATGGGTATGAAATCGTGAGGCTCAATATTTCCTGTCTTTCAACGATCGTTATCTCAATTTTTAGCGGTATGTTAGCTGTTGCATAAATGAAGATACAGATGATATTTAATGATGACTTTTAAGTGAGTGAATTAAATTGTTGTTCTTTATGAGGGATGTTAACAATTTATCTTGCGCGTTTCATGGACTAATCAGTGTGACCCTAAGATCACACGAGTGTCAGCATTAATTGAAACTGAGATAATCATTAAGACATCCTGATCAGATCGGTTACTGTCAGTTTAGCGACAATCTTCTAGTGCTTTCAAAACGATCGACTAAACATGCGTTTTGTAAAAATGATATTTATGGTATTGGCCATAGCTTTCACTGTCGACATCGAAGTGTCAGGTAATTAATTTTATAATTAATTTTCCCAGAGTAGATTATATTGCTTTAAATGTCGAGAAGTTCCTCTCCGTTTTAATGAATTCATGAACTCTGACCCCCCGAGAGGAAAATAAATAGAGTCGAACCCGAGAATAGATTTTTTCAAGAATAAATATCATATGACATATGAAATATCCACTGAATCGTGGTTTTGAATAATCTCGAGCCATTTATTTATTTAAAATTGAACACCAGAATTCTTCAGGGCTATTTTCATCGATTTGAATGATCACCAATTTTTTAGGAATTCCAGAGACATTTCCAGAGATTTATCCAGGCGTTACGTCATGGGCACTGGTTCCATGCAATATAAATTGCAGAAAGCTTTGCAGACGTTTTTATAATAGTGACATTTATCATGTTTCCTCCATTTGCACTGAGGATCGCGAATGTTATTGCATGTAAGTATATTAATTCTAGAGTCCAAAACATAATAATATTTCTCAATTTTTTTGTTTAGGACGAGACCTATTGATCAAGATCCAAATGTAGTGTTACTGGCTTAAATTGTATCAATGAAATTCAAGAAATAAAACATTGCACTTCCTTTCAAATTTTGAGAATAATTAGTAACATTAATTATTAGAGAATTAGCCTTGAGAGAGAAATAACTTCTGACTTTCTCAGGGCAACAATGCACTGTTTCAAATTGCATTGCCTCGCGTGGCTGTCTCATTGAAAATTATGATTACGTACCAATTACCCTGACCCTAAGGTCATACGAAACTGTCAGCAATGGTTTATCTCTCGCAAATATATCGAGAAAAACCACAAGACATCCTGATCAGATGAATTTACAGTCAGTACTGTGATAATCTTCTGGTGCTCTTCAAGCAATCGAAAAAACATGTTGCATGTTGTGAAAGTGATATTTGTGTTATTAGCCATAAGTTCTGCTCTCGACATTCAAGTGTCAGGTAAATAATCCCCTCAGAATACATCAGGCCTCCATTTTTAACTGTTAAATTATATCAGAGATATAATGTTAGATATATATATATCAGAGATTCAATCGATTGATTAGAATTATTTATCGAATTCAATAGCAACTTGGAAAGAATTTTGGATCAAGCTGTGGACACCAGAAGAGGATTTCAAATGGGGAGATAATTGCGACCGTAATTGCAGAGCAGTTTGCATTACAGATTTGAGAAATAGTGATTACAGTATCGGATCTCGTTGTAACAAGGAAGGCTGGTGCATCTGCTCGTAAGTCCGCAGTCCCTGATCCCCAAAATAATAAATTATTAACACAACATTTTCATTACAGAAAATCGGATGCGACCGCCATCAAGTGGTCAAGTAAATTATTGCCGTTAACTTGTCTCCTATTCCTCTATAAATTCCACTGGTAATACATTTATAAATGGAGCCACTTGCTCCGAGGACAGGTTCATATTTGGATTTGATTAGATATCTGTTATCATTGCGATTATTCTTCAAGTGCATTACACGAATAATTCTCTGTACATAAAAAAAAATAATATATCACCGATTTCTTAACGATCGAGAGAACAATTGTTTCATAATTTCCTATATATTTTATGGGAGCAACTTGATTTATATAAAATCGACAAAATGGAGGTTACCGAGTTCCCCTAATTACAGCTACGATTTAATTCATTATAATAGTACCAGGTCTGTGTTTATACTGACAAAGCGTATTATGTCATAAACCAAGCTTCAACAAAAGAGGGGAGCAAATACAGTGCATAGGATGGGAAACCGCATGACAAAAGAGAAATTGTACTCTGAGGTAAATCCGTGGTGAACATTGGGAAAAGTACACCCAGGAGATATGAGAAAATGGGGCTTTATATGAGGAGATCCACAGTGAATCGAGGGACAGGACAATGACACTCGTGTAATTGTCAGGGTCATGGGGAGGAGTTCAATGAGGTACATGACACGTGCTGCTGGCACTCGCGTCAATACGTCTCATTAAGCGTTCGCCAATTTTCCAATTTTCATTACATCAAGGGGTCAAACGATTCCTTCATTCATTCATCTCGTGGAAATAAATGTAAATGCGGATTGGTCGATTGTTTTTAGGGAAAAAATCATAGATTCATTTGTTCAATAATTTGCAATCTCCTTTTAAAACAAATTGATCATTGAACAAGGATTATTGCACCTCATGAAAATGTAATTACGAAAATATAAATTTCGTTCGGTTTGGAAAATTTCAGGGTTGATAAAAAAATTAGAATGATTTCATCCAGTGTGCAAATCCGTTTACTACCATTGAATATTTAAAAAAAAAACAATTCAACATGGAACTAAACCAGATGACATTCAATTACATAAAAAATTCAATCGAAAAAAGCAATTACTGGACTTTCCATTGATCTGAACCAGCACTCCAATTAATTGGTAATCGACTCTCGAATTTCCTCGAACAATTTAACCAAATCAATAGCAACAGGAAACTGGCTTCAATCATCCATAATGACATCATCAACATCGAAAGAACGCACATGTCCCAACAAAATGGTACATGATCCCCAATAATTTCCACCCAATGCAGAAAGACATTGAGCAGATGAGCGAATCGCTGAGCGATTTGAAGCCGCGTTCATCCATTATGTGATAAAATTCGCACGAGTGCACTCTGAGAATATCCACCATCTCAATGACACCCAAGTTGTCATGAATGGATAAACAGTTTGACTGCACGAATCATTGATAATAATAAACTCAGATCCGCAGGTCCGTTCCTCGCGTTTCAATCGGCAGCTGAACCAACAAGTTTGAGGCCGTTGGCACGAGAAAGCAGATGTCATGTTAGTCATGTACATAGATATCTATATACATACCGACAACGCCCGCAAGATAAGATACTAAATGCGAGACTAAAGAGTAATAATCCACCTCATTCTGATTACAGCATCGCTCATGAAATAAATTTGCTCATGACATTCAGACATGACATTAAGATCACTGCTAATTATTCTAATTACCACACAGAACTTGAAATAGCACAAATGATTGAAATTCGGCACCGGAATTTTCAATCAAAACACGAAGCATAATCACATCGAGAAAAAAAAACGTGAAATCATCACAATCAATGAATTATTCAAGTTATCTAATAAATGAGATTAACTAACAGAAGTCGGTATTCGAATCTTCCACCAGGATTGAATCCTTCCCCACATGCTCGAACAAAATGCAACAAAATTTGTCTCAACCCCATAAATAAATATGTTTTTCCGCATTGTCAAACCGCAGAGTAAAATTGCGGTGAAAAAATAACTTGATAACTAGGAGTAAATAAAAGAAGAAGGAAACCTTACCCAAGACAGTTAGTGGTTTTGAAGCTAACCATCTCGCATTAAACGTTAAATAAATCCAAGGCACTTGTAAATGCACATTTGATCATGACAGACTCACAAATTAACACTGCAACACTGATAATTATTTAACATTTATAAACACACGATGATGATAAAGGGTCTTACGAGCACTAGTCCGTCCAGCTGCGCGTTTCCGGAGCGACTGACTACCACGCTTCGTGTCCCCGACACTCCCACCCTTGCATTCTCTCTTTTATTTTTTCCTTTATTTTTACCTTTTTCCTCCACCTCTCTCACTCTTTCTCTCCCTCTTCACCTATTCACTGCGTCATTTTAACACAGGCGTTGTCCTCTTTCCATGTTTGTTGCACACCTGAAACCCCTTACATCCGCCGTTCATCCGTGTCAACCGAGTTCAATAATTTTCCTCGTGAAATATATCCTGCAAGTTTTCCACTTCTTGAAATGTGTTCCACAGGGTGAAATTCACCTGGCGGATGAGAACAGGTGACTATTCGGGTTTATGAGGGTTTTTAGTTTTCGTGGGACTTAGGGTTTCCGAGGAAATTATACCTGCGAGGGGCCGCAGGTAAACTGGAAAAATTCCAGTGCTCTAGAGAAATTCTATTTTTATGACTAAAAATTTTTTTATTTTGAAAGCAATTGTCAAGGTAATTCGAGATAATTATTCCTTTCGAAAGGCCGGAGTGTTTCAATGAAGGGACATTGGGATTTCACTCGAATAACAAAATGAAACTAATGAAACAAGTTCTTAGTGGAGTTAAACCGGGACGGTACTACTCGGTTGATTAATTTTCCAAGACTTTAAAGGAATTTCCGTATTTCACTGAATATGAAACGGAAATTGAAGGGGAGTTCTGCAGGATTAAGTTTTCAATGAAATGTTATCTAGGTCTTTTTGATCTACTGCCGGGGGTTCATGTAAGTGGGGAATTTTCTGCTGCGAGTACGCGAACTTATGGAGTAAATAAAGGATTGAATTTTGAGGATGTCATTATAGCCATTTCTCTAAACCGTCAGCAGATCTCTGTTCAATTCTCCAATTTTTTCTCCATGCATGGGAAGTGGAAAATCTACACCACCCGACACTATGAAATTTGTAATACAATCGAATGGGAAAAAGGAAAAAGAGGGAAAAAAAACGGAAAATAGAACTGAATGAAAGAGAAAATCCCGAGGGACAAAAATTCTCATCTGGACGCAGCCGGTCTCGAAGCTCTCATTCATCTATTTTTTATTTTCCGAAGACTTGAACGACAGACTCGATGAATTCGTTTCCTACGAAACAGCAGCGGGAGAAAAAATTTGCGCGTCGATGGAAAAATGAATGAATAACAAAACGAATGGATGAAATACGGGGGAGGGAGGGGTGAAAGCCAAAATCGTTGGCATGATAAAAAAATCAATCATGGAAAGTAATTGGGATTGTATTCTATGGAAATCGCCGCGTATTATCGGATTGATGGCGGTGAAAGGGTTCTACGGCGAAAATCCATTGGAAAATGGAAAAAAATTGATGAAAAATGCATTTGAACAGTTTAAATTGATCAGTGAATCGCGACTTCGGGATTAGAGAAAATTTGTGGAGTGGAGTTCTATTTATTTCGGAATGAGATTTTTCGCCATGGCATGGAAAACAGTGTGGCCTCGAGACAGGAAAAATTCCCGCGAATGGAAAATGGTGGTCTTGATTTAAGGACAATATCAATTTAGAAAGAATTCTATTTGAGAACTTGAGGAAATGAGGGTTTCTGACTGATACTATTGAAGAAGGTGGAAAATTCAGCGGTAGGTATTTTCAATCTAGGCTAAAATTCCCCTACCTCCGAAGGCACCATCTATCACCTTCGATCTCCTCGACCTACCACAAATAGAAAACACATTTGAACCCGTGGAAATGTCAAGTTCTGAATATAAATGAATTTTCCATTGATTCTCAGCAGATTAAAATCTGAGCCTTATTTAAGGAATCGAGGAATCCACCTAGACCAAATAAACCACAAAACGAATAAAAATATCCACCAGACGTGACAAAATTCACTTTCATTAAATCCTCATCACGAAAAGTTGTTCGGAATCGATAAGTTGCGCATTTGTGATTGCGATAAAATGAGCAAAGTAGGAAAAGGCGGACGTTGGAGAAGCGCCGGAAGAGCAGAAATCGATAGAATGTGGCGTAAGAGAAAAAAAGGTAGTTGGAGAAAATGAAAAGAAAAGAAGTGGAATTTTTTGTTCGAGTCGTTGGCCTCTCACGAGGAAAGACTAGACGCGCCCAAGCGCAAACTGCATGAGCCTAAGTTGAAGGGGTGGGTGGGAGGGGTTGGATATTGCATGGTGAAGAAGAGTATGAGTGGGAAGCCGGATAACTCGTGAGTTGCACATAGAGGAGTGCCCAAGGGAAACTTTTCGAGGTTCCATTTTCCATGGATCCGAGTGCTCAGCACAAAAGAACGTCACTGAGACTGCAGTTGGTACCGGAGTACTTCAGCGTACATATAAAGTTGGATGACTTTGGATAACGCAGGGTGATATATTATATGAACATATATCAACACTCCCGAGGGCTCAATTGTTCCCTACATTGATACATAACACATTTGGGGGATTATATCACCAGAAATTACACACTCATTTGTACTCCCAAGCTGTTACAACTTGTCTCTCAAATCGCGACCCCCAGGGACATTTTTTTTCAAAGAGTTGTCATCATTTGTCATCATTCGATTGGCATATACGATTGGAGATAAATGACATTTTATGGACAGTTACTATTGATTATTCATGAAAATGAAATTTCAGGTTTTACTCACGGTTCAGTAAATTTACAATCCAATATGCCATTATGTTTTTCAAAAATATAGGGCTGTATTTTTTTTTTATTCGAAAAAACGAGACTATTAGACTGTTTGCAGTATTTGCAGTTCGCGTATCTTCTTATTTGCAACGTAAAGAACACAGAGCAGAATTTATTCCTCGACGTGCATATTCGTAATCATCCCGACAAATATTAGCTATCCAGTAAAATATCATATAGCGCTTCTATTCCCAATGGTATACCTCCGCTTCAGCAACGATTTCATATTATGTACCAACGCTGCATGGGATTATAAAAAAAAAATGCATTTTGAAGTCTTAACCAATTATTTTTTTAAAATCGTATTTTGCAGTATTCGAAGAGGTGAATATTTATCTAGTTTATTGCAATGCGAATGATTTTTCTTGTGCCAGCCAAAAATATCTTCTTCCTGCAGGTGTTTTTTTTCAATTTATAATATTCTGTTGAATTTTTAGGTTTTCTTTAAATCTTGCACACTTGACTACCCGTTAACTATTCTGGAGTCTGTGGTTTAATTAGAAGCCCTATATTTTTAATGCGTCGTCGAGGGCTTTCTCTGAGTTGCGAGGGGAGTCGACCTCAACAAAAGCCAGTGTTGTATGACAAATACATTTTCACTGTGAAAAGATGAATATTTCACGAGGAAATTGGCTTGTAACATTTCTTTTACCGACTTTCCCTCTTTTTTACGAGGAAGTGATGGGTCACTCCCGTGATCATGCGCCTGGAAAATTTGTCGGGCACGTGTTGGAAAATCGCTGCGGGGGTTAAATTTGTCTGGAGCACGTGTTGAGCAAATGTCAAAGGACGAAAGTATCATTTCCGAGCGTATCCCGCGCAATTCCGTCACCTTTTATCCAAGTACTTTCTTGTCTGACACTTGGGGACGAGCAAGCACCACTCAACCGCTGGTTATTCCGGTTGATTTTTTTATCTTTTTTTTTTTGGATGCTCCCTTGCTCTGGAAACCAGCCGAGCTTCCGACAATTTTGCGCCAACGACGCCATTACCGGAAATGATTTACGAGACTCGGATGCCACGAAGTGGTGGAATGAGACAGCGAAAGAATAAAGAAAATATGGTGAGAGCTGAACAATTGGTGCTTCAATTTGTTGGAAAATCTTTTGGCATTTTGAAAATCGGTGGAATTACTTGATATTTGCGTACAATTATGGAAACTATAAACTCAATTAACTCCAGTGGAAGTGAGACGGAGGAAAAACTATTGAAATTCACGTCATGCCCTTGCAGAGAGCAATGAAATTGCATCACGTGCACAAGTTCAGGACAAAATTACATCACGTCATCTGACAGGTCTTTGTTCATTCATGAAACCGTGAGGCATAAATTTGAAGATTACACGTGCTACACAGTACAGTGTTCCATTATACATTTCCTAATGGGTGCAATATTAAATTTTTTCCTTACCCCTGACAAAATAATTCCCACGAGAAAAAGAGTCTTGAAAATTTATCAGTGAATGAAAAATCATCAATGCCGACTACTCCCCGGTAATTTCTCAGTCAACAATTGTCCAAACACTTCCCTGGAATTCACCACCTCAGCAAACCACCCTCGGGCTTTTCGATAACAAGGATTGGGGTTAGCATAACCCCGATCTCTTCACCTGCGATGGAATCTGTCCAGTGACTTCCTATAGCTCTCAAAACCACGCCCATCCCTCAACTCCTTTCATTTCCATTTCCAACAATCTCCAGGCATAAGAGAGAATAGATAAAATTTCCTCCTCAACTCTGTGTTTCCATGATGGCATGACGATGGCATTCAGGACTGGCTCTAAACGCTAGCGTGAGGATTTATCGGTGGCATAAACTTTCGCCATTTGAGATCTCTGGATCCCCCTGTCTCCCCCAGGGGGGTGCAAGTTCTTCGCACCCTTTCTGGGTTTCGTACAGTAGCACAAGTTGGATGGAATGATATAGTAAAGCCAAAAGGAGGTGCATCTATATGTTCGCTTCTGCACATTAACGTGCAACCGGCATTTCGTATGCCAGATGCTTGCCAAAGACCCCTGGGGCAGCCCGTGGATGCAAACTCTTAGGTACATATAACACACCACCAATTTGGTACATGCAAAATTTCACATTGAAAATCATTTGCAGCGATAATACCACTAGAGAGTTAAAGTCACAAATACTAATCTATAAACAATTTTTATAAAACCGCAAAAAAAAGACTCATAATTAATGTATTGAATATTGATGTACTGCCAATTGGGACAAGAATAAATATTTTTATGGGTTCATTAAAATCCTTATTGATTATTGATTGATTATTG